GCTGGCCTGGCCCGAATTTTTTTAAAATAAATTATATTTATTTTTGATTTTTATAGCTAATAATGGCGATTTCAAATATTTGGTTTTAAAATATACAGCTCGGCCCAGAAATTTATCTAAAAAAATTTTCAGGCCCAGCGCGGGTGCTTTTTTTAAAAAAAATTACGAGCCCGGCCCGGGTATATTTAAAAAAATTAAAATACGGTCCGGCTCGGGGGCTGGGCCTGCAAGTCTGTGAAAAACATACCTATGAAATACAACATCTGAAAGTAGATTGAATGATTTGGATCTTTTGAATATTCATAGGCAATTAACGCCAAGCAAGGATTGATAATTGAAAAATTAGCTCAAAATGTATAAAATACAATTATTCCTAAGAAACTTTTTGTGTATTAATTTATATTTCCAACATATAAATTTTTTATACTTTATATATTTTAAAAGCTCTCCCAAAATCCTACCTTCAGCCTCATCGTGGCGGGGGAGTGGCAAAGTCTTTTGGCGGCTAATGTAGGTCTAAAAGGTTCCCTGTGATCTGGGTCTAGAATAGGATCACCGTCTCCTCGACGGGGTGTAAAAACAACTTAAAGAGGTTGATGTCAGGAAGGGCATCCGATTGTAAAAACCTTGCTACAAAATTTCCCTATGGTTACAACAAAGCATTAGGAGGGTACAGCCCAAAGTACCCCATGGGCCTCCTCATCCGTCTACGACAAAAAGAAGGATGGGAAACCTGGCGGAACCACTATTCATGAAAATGAAACTTATGACGGCCATAAACGACATGATAAAAAGTGGAGAAACCAGTTTACGGGTGATCGAGTTAGGGTCGCGACATGGAATGTTGGGAGTATGACAGGAAGAGCGGGAGAAGTCGTCGATGTATTGCAAAGAAGACATATAGATGTGTGCTGCATACAGGAGACTAGATGGAAAGGAAATGGGACCAGAATGATTGGCAAGACTAGCGAAAAGTATAAATTCTTTTGGCAAGGAGGTAATGATGGTAAGGCTGGAGTTGGGGTATTGGTTGCGGAGAAATTGGTAGACAAAGTAGTCGAAGTGAGAAGGCTAGACAACCAGATAATGGTTATCAAGATGATTTTTGGTAGAAAGCTATATAATATTATCTCGGCATATGTTCCTCAGGTTGGAAGAAGTGAAGAAGAGAAAGATATATTTTGGGACAGTCTATTGGGGGTGACATCGAGACTGGCGAATGAAGAGGGGATTATCCTGGCTAGTGATATGAATGGACATGTGGGAGCGAGTAGTGAGGGTTATGAAGGAGTACATGGAGGGTTCAGTTACGGCATGAGAAATTTGGAAGGAGAGAGGATTTTAGAATTTAGTGATGCTATGGATATGATTGTCTGTAATACAATGTTTAAGAAAGAATCAGAGAAGCTGGTGACTTAAAAGTCGGGTAGTACCAAAAGTGCTGTGGATTACTTGTTATAAAGGAGATGTGATCGATGTATAGTAAAAAATGTGAAAGTGATACCGGGAGAGGAATGTATAAATCAGCATCGACTAGTTGTAGGAGATCTCACTCTTAAAGGTGCCAGGGTCACTAAAAGAAAGTTTGTCCCAAGGCTGAAGGTTTGGAAATTGAAGGAGGAGAATGCTAGACGTCAATTCAATATGGCATTGGCGATTAAGGAAGCGGAGGTGGCACAAGCATCTGGGGTGAATGACAAGTGGGAAGCCATGAAGAAAGCCTGGGTAATGACAACTGAGGAGGTATGTGGATGGACAAAAGGGCCGCCTAGACATAAGGAGACTTGGTGGTGAAGCCCAGAGGTAGCGAAAGCCGTGGATGAGAAACGGAGGTGTTTCAAAGTATGGTATAATAGCAAAGAAAATAGTGATAATGATATTTCCAAGATGGCTAAAAGAAATGCTAAGAAATTAATAGTGAAGGCTCAAGAAGAAAAAAGACACGAGTTTGCTAAAGAAATGGAATGCACTGATGGAATTGGAAATATGGTTCGAATGGCAAAACAGATGTCAAAAAAGAGGCAGGATGTGATAGGTGTAAAGTGTTTGAAAAATATGGAAGGAAAAATAACGATTGATAGTAGTGGTATTAAGAACACCTGGAAGATTTACATGAAAGGACTTTTGAATGAAGAAAATGAATGGAATAATATTAGTTGTGCAAAGGTAGAAGGTCCAGGGTGTAACTTTGGCAAGGACAAGATAAAGAGAGCAGTGAAAAAGATAAAGAAAGGGAAGGCATCGGGTTTAACGATGGTGGTATCAGAGATGTTTAAAGGTTCTGATGATTTAGGGATTGAATGGTTAATGAATTTAGCAAATCAGATTGTCACAGAAGGTACTATTCCCGAGGACTGGCAAAGAAGTATAATTATCTCAGTATACAAGGGGAAAGGTGATCCTTTAGATTGCGGGTCTTACAGAGCTATTAAACTCTTGGAACATGCAATGAAAGTATTTGAGAGAGTGTTAGAGAAGCGGTTAAGGGAACAAATTAAAATTGATGAAATGCAGTTTGGTTTTACATCGGGAAAAGGCACGACAGATACAATTTTTGTGGTGAGACAAATTCAGGAGAAGTATCTTGCGAAGGAAAAGAAACTCTATTATGCGTTTGTTGATTTGGAGAAAGCCTTTGACAAGGTGCCGCGTGAGATTACAAGATGGGCCTTGAGAAAATCCAGTGTGGAGGAATGGTTGGTTACCGCAGTGATGGCAATGTATGTTGGAGCACAAACAGCAGTACGGACGGATTATGGTGATAGTGACAGCTTTGAGGTGAAGGTAGGACTTCATCAAGGATCCATGCTGAGTCCATTATTATTTATCTTAGTAATGGATGTGGTGGCTAGAGAAATATGTGAAGGACTTCCCTGGGAGATATTATATGCAGATGACCTTGTATTAATGGCAAACAGTGAGGGAAAATTGAGGGATAAAGTTAGTAAATGGAAGATGACTATGGAAGCAAAGGGTCTGAAAATGAATGCATCAAAAACAAAGGTGATGATTGGTGGGGGAAATCTAAAGATGGAAGAATCCGGTAAGTGGCCTTGTGGTGTATGTGGGAAAGGAGTTGCTAGAAATTCTATCCAATGCACCAGATGCCAGAAATGGGTACATAAAAGATGTAGCAGGAAAAGAGTCAGTTTAATGTTAGAAAGAATGACCTTTATTTGTAAAACATGCATGAAAGGGATACATAATAATGATAACCTAAAAAATGGTGGTCTGGATATTGGCAATGGGTTAACCCTAGAAAAAGTGGATAAGTTTTGTTATTTAGGTGATATGCTAAACGCAGATGGTGGTGTAGATTCTGCCGTTGTTGCAAGGATCAGACAAGCTTGGAAGAAGTTCAGAGAGATGTCGTCTATTCTTACAAATAAAAAAGTTTCTCTGAAGTTAAAGGGGAAAGTTTATGTAAGCTATGTGAGGAGTTGTTTAGTTTATGGCGGTGAAACATGGGCAATGAAAGCAACTCACGAAGCCAAATTAGAAAGAACAGAAATGAGGATGGTTAGATGGATGTGTGGGGTATCTCTGAGAAAGAGAAAAACTAGCAAGGAATTGCGAGCAAGATTAGGTATAGAAATGATTGGTATGGTAATGCGACGAAATAGACTAAGATGGTTTGGGCATGTGGAACGTATGACAAGAGATGACTGGGTAAAGAGATGCACAATGATGGAAGTAGGAGGATCAAGACCTAGAGGAAGACCCAAGATGACGTGGACAAATGTGATAGCGGCGGATATGAGAAGCATGAATCTTACAAGTATTGATGCTCAGGACCGTGAAAAATGGAAAAGAAAAATCAGAGGGAAAACTGGCCTACCCGGGTAAACCTGGAAATCGCCATAAAACGGAGAAGAAGAAGATATATTTTAAAAGCTCAAAAAATTCAAATTTCAATTTTGGGTCATTTAAGTGGTTCATATCGTGGGTTATATTCACTTTATATTTTATAATTCACATTTATTTTATAGTTTTTCAATGCCGGTTTATATATAAAATTTTTTTAATTCACATTAGTTTAAAATTGTGTATTAGAAAAGTTATTAATCCTAATAAATTTATGCTTAGTATTTTTAATTAACAATATTATTTCTTTAAAAAATTTATTATCCCCCCCCCAGACCAAATTCCTGCATAAGGGCCTGAATTAAATATATGAATATTTTTTTTATAAAACGATCTTATATATTCTTTTTGTATAGTTTTATTTTATTATATATTTTCAGAAAAAAATAAATATATATTTGTACATATTTAATTTTTTTAAGTAACGAGTAGCCCGTTAATTTTTTGAAAAATTGGTAACGCGCGTTCCTTTTTTTCAGATATAACGAGTAACGGTAACGGGTTTCTTTTTTGTAATAACGTTTACAGCACTAAAATAAAGTGACAATTTTTAAAATCGCCAGCTATTTATAGTAGAGATCTGTATTTTTTTTTAAAAAAAATCGTGTTCGGGCCTAATATTTTTTTAAAAAATCGGGCTAGGTCAGGCCTTAGAAATTTTTTTAAATACAACTAAATTTATCAATTTTATGTTTAATTTTTTATTTAAATTTAAAAAATTTGATTATATTTATAGAAACTAGACGCCATATTACATATCTTTTATTTTGAGTAATTACAAAAATTAATTTCTCAATTTAAATAAATTCAGGCCTGGCTGGCAAAACTTTTTTAAAAAATTTGCTGGGTTTGAAAAATTAGGCCCGATGCAGATCACTAATTTCAGGGGTTCAAAAGGATATAAACAGAAATACACATTACAAATATAAGAAAAGCAGGGTGGCTCATCAGTCGATTACTATAGATGTAATAATTTGTTTTAATATTATACTATACTAGTAACTATAATGAGTTGGTTTCTGTTGGAAGCTTAACTGTATTAAAAATATTTTGTTTATGATTAAAAAATTTAAAAAGGCTAAGGTATCAAACTCAATTAGAATTTACTGTTTTTATAAACAAATAAATAAGCATACTATCTCTCTCTTCTGAAGTCCCCGTCCCGTTGAGAACATTTCCAGTTGGAGTCTGAGCACCATTACTAAAATTAAACATGGTACTGAAAAAACCAAAGGGGAAAGCGCCTATACCAAATGACATGTGTATGCCACCTAATCCACTTTGATTGAAGAATTGATTAGCAAATAGGTTATTTTGAGAGGGAGAGAAGAAGTAATCAAAGTAAGTGTTTGACGAACTGTTTGAGCCATTACTTGTAGAATACGACGTTCTTTGTCCAGGTGGCCTTGGGGGGTATATTTTCGTTCTAGGGTCTTTGCTGCGTTCATTTTTTTTGGTTCTTGAAGTTGAAGAACCATCACCTCTACCATATAATGGGATAACCTTTTCCTTGGTCAGGGCATCTTTACAGACAGGGCATTCGGTTCTATTTGTTTGATTTTTAAAAAAAGATTTTCCATAAATATAAAAATTTATTATAATTTTGTAAAATAAAAGAACGTCAATAATTTAAACGTAAACATAGTCGTATGAACAGGATTTTAAGGGTTAAAAGTTATATTGTCCATGAGTTTAAACAATTTTCCTTCCTGGCTCATTTTTAATTTTAGACTAAATAAGAATTAAATCTGATACACACCGTTTGGACTATAAATGTGTGAGTTTTAGCCGTTTAAAATATTTCACGGCAGCTATAGGCAGGCCTATATTTAGGGATGTAATAATATTTTTTATCAAGATCACTTAGTTTTTTTTTAAATATCAGTTGTCGACCGATATTATCACATTTTTTGACTTGATAAAATGGCATCTTTGTTTAAAATTTTAGACTAGCTTGAGATTCTTTACTTTCCACATGATAGGAAGACTTTTAGATCAAAAAAATTGAAGTGATACTGTACACGATATATTTTAATGATCTTTTTTTATAATATATTATCTTTATTGTATATTGCCACAGAACTGTAAATCAAATATTTAAATTATCGATAATTGTAAGTTTTTATTTTCGTGTTGATATTGTAAATTGAGATATAAATTTTTGTCTTATCAAATAATTAAACGTACTACATATATGATATTATTTTACATCCATCAATAATTATTACTTTCAAATTATATTATTGGAATTTTACCATTGTTTTGATTTAATAAAGATACTTTTGATATTCTTAATTCTGAGCTATTTCCTACAATGATAAAATAATCGGTTAATCAAAATTTAATAGTAGTTAAAATTCCAGTATTTGGATACGGAATCATGTGGGATTCGGAATCTTTTTTTTTAAATATTTATTAAAAATATATTTAAAAAATATTCCGAATCCCCATGTATATTTTTTTTAAATTTTTAAATTATATATTTTTTGCCGTCTGGCTGGCACCAGAAAATTTCATTTGAGATATTTTATTTTCTGTTTTTGTAAATTCATATAAAATAAAATCATAAACATTTTCATATGAATATGAATATGGTGAATTATATCCATATCAAATCGACAAAAAAAAGTCAATTCTCAACCCGACCTCCTTCAATTTTTCTTATAACTAAGAAAAAAAAGAAATTTTACCTTCCAAAACTGTTTACCCGCTAAGATATGGCCGTTTAAGAAGCGCGGAAAAATGGTACATTTTTGACAAAATGCACCTCATTTATTTTCAAATATCTCGAGAAATAATTATGTTAGAAAAATAATTTAAATTTTATTAAGTAGCTTAATAATAGTTCTTTAATATGGCATAAAAATAAATATGATAGAAATTTGATTAACGAAAACCGGATGTACAAAACAGGAAATGGCCATAGAATAAAAAAATTTTTCAAAATTTTTTTTCTGTAGATAGATATCACACGGCTTTATATTTGTACAAAATCCTAGACTGGGATGAACATGGGTTTAGAAGTTATGACTCTTTATATGGCCAAAATTGAACAATTTTAACCCAAAATATCATCATATATAAATTTAATGAATAGTTATGAAATAATGTTAATTTAAAAATTTTCAGAGGTGGTTAGGATAATGAGCTTTATTTAGCATAAAATAATCTACCATAATTAAAATTCATCAATAAATTTTCCCTCATAACTTTATAATTAAAAGAAAGGTTTAATATATTCTTTGACGAGAATTCTATAGATTATATAACATTCAAATAATGGATAGTTGTTGATCGAACTACCCTCGAAACACTGACAAAATCCGCCGAAGAATTTGTAGATTATTTAATTGAATAATTAAACAATTTAATTTCTTGTTTATAGTTTCAGGATAATCATTAATTCGAAACTTTTTAAAAATTTAAATGTTGGCGAATTCTTAGTTATTGAAGACTTTTCAGAAAACTATGCATTTGTAGTGTGGGACCATACACAAGGATTTAATTTGATTAATAATAAGGCTACTATCCACACTTTTATGATTTATTACCGTGAGGACAACATAATAAAACATGTAAATTTAGTGGTTATTTTAGTGTTTAAAGCCAAACGCATGTTCATTTTATTTATTTAAAAAATTGATCGTATTCTTGAAGGAAAAATTTGATAGTGACTAAAATTTATTATTTTTCTTATGAAGTAGTAACCATTGAACTCGCAACTATATGATATAATAAAACATTAATAATATTTTTTTAAATAAAATAGGCCCATCTTACTAATATAAGAATTTTTATAATCAATTAAATTAATATAAATAGCAACAAAGAGAGACTCAAAGATCTAATAAGAAAGCCAACAATTTAAAACTTATGTATATCAAGAATGATTAAATTGAATAATATGGTGGCCATGTTTTAATACCATTTTTATATTTTAAATTTTCTCACTTCATATAGGAGTTCTTTTGACAGCCATTTAAGCTTATTTGCTTTAATATTATTTAATAGTAATACTAAAGGACCCAAACCAATAGGCAACTCTCTAAGTTGGCAGAAATCTTAGTTCCAACCTTGTAATAGACAGGTTTGACTGTAAATTGAATTTTATATTGGATCAGTTTGTTTGAAAATACAATTCTATCCGAAATTGCTTTAAAATTCTAAATGTAAGCCCCAACCTGGATATTTAATATCAGCACAGCCCTAGTTTAACCCCTTCAACAGTGGTGTAGCCATGGAGGGGGTTTAGGGAATTAACCCCCTACCCCCCCTTGAAAAAATGAAAAATTTTATGTTAAATACTAAATTGATAATATGAATGATTAAAACTTAAAACACAACTAACTGTATGTTTTTATTTTATAAATACTAATTTTGAACTATAGTATTTGATTTTTTTAAAATAAATTTTAAATTATTTTGCAAAAAACTTGTCTAGTTTGTCATATTCCTTTTAAAAATATATATTTTGTCAATTTCATAATTAAAACAACCAATTTATTTAATTTCAACAGATGTTAAGTATGGATATACCTCAGGTCCAATATACTACCTTTTTATGCTGCTATTAAATATAAAAGTATCAAAGTTACAACCATATCAAGTCTTATATTTTAAAGGATGATAGGATTTTTCATAATGATAATGTAGTAAATATTTTAGATATTTTGTTTATTTAATTTTTTTAATTGTGTGCTTATAGAATCTTCATTCAATCTTATTTAATGATATTTGAATATTTCCATATTTATTAAACAAACTGAAAAGAAAAAATATCTTCTATGAAGATCATTCAAAAATATCTTGATTCGGGGAAACGGGCTCAGGTCTGGTTCGGGCATGAAAAAAGTTTTTTTTCGGTTTCGGGTTTGGGTTGTAAGAGCTGTCCGGCCCCAAACCTGACCCAAGCCCAAAAAATAAATAATAATATTAATATCCTAAATAGTCATTATTTATAATATTAATTATAAAATCATATCATTTTTTATTTATCACATTTTATCCTTAAAATGTCAATCATAATAAAATGTCATGTCATTATCAATTATTATTTTATAATTTACCTAACAACCGGATACCAAAATATTTTATCACTTAATTGTGTGTTTCCCCAGTGAAGTACAAGATAAGACAAGACAAACTATTTTATGTACTAAAGATAAGTTTTATTCTTTCATTTATTATTTTATTATATACATTCTCCTATAAAACATTCTATAATGCTGTTTTTTCCAAATACAAATTGGTCAAAATTATTTTTAAAATAATCCTAATAACCTTATTTATTCGCTTTCTATAATTAGTAGTAGTAAAATTGTCCATGTCCATATTATTTTTACCATAATCTGTAGTAAGTATATCTTTCTCACATACTAAATTTTTCTAATGTTAAAATTTAATGTTGAAATACTAATTATTAAAGATTCAAATGATCTCTCAAATCTAGTATAAATTCTAATAGATATCTGAAACTAGTTCTAAAATTCAATAGATTAATGATAAACTCTTAAATCTAGTATTGTTTTGTTATTAGTATTTAAATAGTTGATTTTGAATAGTAGATTGATAGTTATTAATATTATACTAATTCCTTATTTAAAATTTAAATGGGTTGAACTTATAAACAGGATAGAGGTTAAAGTTTTTGAGAATGAACTAGCTATTATTATAGTCATTTAAAGAAGTGGCCGAAAAATATATAAATGAATAAACAAATAGGATAATTCCTATTTATAACATGTAGCTTTTCAATGCATGTTGATATTTATTTCAATTTAATTGATTAAAGTCATTTTAAATATTTTTTTTAGATTTTAGACAGTCTAATTAAATAGACTCATATTAAAAAAATTATTTCAATGGATGCCAAATTAAAAAAAATTGGTGAAAAAATTAAGACCAATAAGTATGAAGTAAAGGAAAATGTCAATGGCAAATCTGATGTCTGGAAAAAGTTTTCATTTATATATGATGAAAACAAAGAAAAACTTAATTATGTGATTTGCATTATTTGCAAATTTATTTATGTATATAATTCAATTACAACAGGTTAGATATTTATACATAAAATATGATCTTATTAAATTATTTTAGGCACAAATCAACTAAAAAGGCATAAATGTGTATATACAATAGAGAGTAAAAAGACTCCATTAACAATTAATAGCCTTTTTGGTACTGATCCCAAAAAACTTAAAAATTGTACCAAATTATAAAAAGAGTGTACAAAGGTGATTACTATGTTTTGTGGACGTGATTTGAGATCATTTTATACAATTCATGGGGAAGGCTTTGTTGATTGTTGCCAATATTTTGCCAAATATTGATGTTAAAAGCATCATTCCAAATCCCACGATAATTTCTAGAAATTTAATAGGTACTGCTGTTGTATACGCAATAAATTATTTGATGTGCTGGTTACAAATTTATGAAAATATGGTTAAATTATTATTATTTTTTATAGCCACCACAGACCTTTGGACTGATGATTATAAGAAAGTATCCTATGTAACTCTTACAATTCATTTCTTAAATGATTCCTGGAAACTTAATAAAGTTGTATTATTTACATGCAAGTTTGAAGATGAAAAAAAGACAGATGAAAATATTAAAAAGGAAATTATAAGAAATTTTACCTTGTTGGGTATTGATTTCATTAAAAATATTTATAAAATCCATGTATTCTTTATATCAAGATATAGCAGGGCATATAAATCGGAAATTCCAATCATTACCGACCAAGAGGCAAATATGATTAAAACTTTTGAAAATCATAAAAGATTAAATAATTCTTCTCATCTTTTAAATACAGTATTAAGGAATACTTTCGATAACAAAAATATTGAATCTCAAAGTTCGGAGATATATCAATGTTTTGTTGATTGTAAAAGTTTAGTAACTTATATGAAACAGAGTGGGTATGTTAAATTAACTTTTTATTAAAATATATCATTAAATATTAGATTAGTTAATCAGCTCGATAAAACTCTCCATATGTGTGTTGAGACTAGCTGGAATAGCAGGCTAAATATGATTGAATCGATTTTTAATCAATTTAATGAAATATTGGAGATCCTCAATTCCAGAGGAGAGTCGATTAGGCTAGAAAATATTGATTTTAAAATAATGAGGGATCTTATCAAGTTTCTGACGCCTTTTAAAATTGCGAGTGATGAACTTGAGTGATTTAAAACCCACTATTCACAAAGTTATATAGTGTTATCATAAAATATTGAGTTTTTTAGCGCATCCTAGCTTAAACTCTCAGCTAAACCAGCTATCGTAAAGATGCCAAAAAATATTCGTGGATAAATTTCAAATAGATATATTCCACCAAATTTCGACGTTTTTGTTCCCAAAATTTCGGGTTATGAAAATGTTATCCCGAGAACATTATAAAGATTTGTGTCAACATATTAACACGTTGATGAATGCAGAGAAAATTAACAGAGATCTTATCAAGCAAAAGTCTATAAATATCAACTCACCATCTAGCTCCTGCTCAACTGATAGAGTAGTTTATTAAATTAATAATAAAATTATTTATTAAAAAAAATAAAGTAAATATATATCTTTTAATATTATTATCATATTATGAATATTTTTTTCTTAAGAAAATACTGAGGTAGATACGTTTTTGGATTTGTCTCTATGGGAGGCTGACAATGCGTTTTCTGATGCTAGCGCCGAAGCTGACAAGCTTAAAAAAATACCTAGATCCTAAATTATGAATAGAAGATGATAATATTTTAAATTGGTGGACAACAAACAATAATGAGTTTCCAAATTTAAGTATTTTATCTCTTAAATTCCTAGCTATCCCTGCTTCGTCTGCTAGCAGTGAAAGAGTGTTCTCAGCTGCTGGTAGGGCCTTTGAAGATAAAAGGACTTATTTAAAGCCAGATAAACTGGACACCTCTTTATTTATATATCATAATTATTCACTTTGTGATACTTTTGATAATGATATTGATATGTTAATATAATATAATATGTTCATTATATTTTTTATATATTTATTAACTTTTATATCATTATCATCTATATTCAACATAAATGATGCTTTTATTGTATTTTTATATAATTGCTATAATTTTTAAATTCGCTTGTATATTAATCTTTTTATAATATTTTTTACAAATTAAATAAAATGCAACTTAATATATATCTTGAATAGATTATGGCCGTCAAATAAACTTTTATTTAAGGTGGCGATGAATAAATACACAATTTTTTTTGGCTATTATAATATTCAAACTCAAATTGCAAAATTTTATTTGGGTAGGGGTCGGGTTGGACTAAAAAATGTGTGCTCGGGTCGGGCTCGGGCGAAAAAAAATTTAAATTGGGACTTGGGTCAGGCTCAGGTTGCAAAAAACTACTTTGCAGTCCTCTAGGTGCACATCCTTTAATCAATTGTTAAAAATACGATAGAAATAAAGGATAAAATGTAAAAATATCATTAAAATTTATAATAAATTCATGGGAGGTGTAGATCTCATGGATTCTTTAATATAGAATTCATATTAAATCAAGAAAATGGTATCATAGAATTCTATTTAATATATTTTACTTGCTCATAAATTCATGGCTGTTATATAGACATGATTGTAAAAGTATATCATAGCATGCAAGGATCAATTTAGCTTATATAATTTCAAAATTTCAGTGGAAGAAGTCCTTTGTAAATATGGCAAAGACATTTTAAACACTATGCCAAAATACAAATCAGTTCAAACTGGTATTCTTGAAAAATGTAAGAGAGACCTGCCAAAAGAGGTTAGAAAAAACCTAATGTCTTATTTGCCCAAATATAAAGATAAGGAGGAAAGTTTTGAATTGTGAGGTTGCTTATTTAGAACAAAAGAAGCTTGTCAGAAATGTGGCGTATATTTATATTTTACATCCAAAAATAATTGTTTTATAGATTTTCATTATAATTAAAATGTTCAAATCATAATATTTGTTATGTTTACATAAAATTTTATAAATATACAGTTTATATTATATTAAAAATTATAGTGGAAAAAATTGTAATTTGTATCCTTTAATTGCATAATGTGTATTTTATTACATATACCGTTCATCTTCTAAGAAATTTAAAAAATTTTTTAAAAAAGTGAACCAGAGATTATCTATAGTATCAAGATAAAGAAAAAATGTAGTTTGGCAAAAATATATTCAGGGTTAAGGTTGGCCAAAATCTTGTTACTAATATTTTTTTCCTTCATATTGGCTATTATATTGGTTTAAGTCAAGCATTAATAAATCTCAAAATATTGCATATTTTAGAATTTAGGGTTGTTCAGCCAACTTAAATGGAGATTATATAAAATCCACCAAAAAATCAATAATATGTAAGGATTATTTATAGTAGGGAACCCACCAAAGGCCAGGTAAATGGGATTTGGGGGCAAAACCACCAAAAAAATTTTAAACCTCCCCTCATTTGAAAATTCTGGCTTTGCCATTGCCCTCCCAAACCCAGTGACAGTTTCCGGTTTGATTAGAAGCACAAATTTTAGGTCTCAAGACTTTTATTTAAAAATTTTTTAATGAAACACCTAAAAATTACTAATAGCTTTGTCTAAATCCAAAATTATAATTATCTTTTATTTTATACAAATTAAAAAACATTATTTTCTATTAGCCTGAATTAAATTAAAAATTTCAAGAAAGAGCATTGCCCAATTTTTTTTTCCCCAAGCCTAGCTCAAGGCCGGTTTAATGCTCTATAAATATTAAACAGATAATAAAAATTTTAATGTATATAAATACAGAAGTAGCAAAATTATTGGAAAAATTATTTTGCAATACATAATTTTTGGCTTGCTATCTTTTAACAATACACTCTATGTAGCCTTAGCCTTAGATAAAAAATATTTGTTTTTTAGTATGCATTTTTATATTTTAGCAATCAATATTATGCATTAAAGACGCATGTACATCAGAAATGGTGGTAATAATGAGCATTTAAAGAAGCATCCATTTATTCAAAAATGTTGATTTAATTTATTTTACAAACCAATATTAAAACATATATATTACTTGAATGGTTTAGTTTCAAACCATTGATAGAGGCATGGCCAGCAAAATAAATGACCACACATACTTATAACGGCATCTTTTGCTGTTTCTAGACATATATTACATTCAAAATTAGAAGGATGCTCCTTATCTTCTTCTCCACTATTACTAATATTTTGCTGGGATGATTTTATTCTAAAATAATTTTATATTTATGTAATTAAAAAGATCATTATATTATTTAACAAAAAAAAAGATGATATAAAATATGATTATGCTGAATTCTAAAATATACTTTGGCATTTTAGTTGATGTACTTCCTATGAAATTTGAGTTTGATATCACATTAGGTATTTTAATCTCTAATATTGAAAAATATATATTATATTATTTTGCAACTACTAAATAATATTAGTCGTAATTTTGTAAGATTCTGGCAGTGGCCATCCATCTTCTTTTTCTTATTAGGGATACATAAAGTTTTTTTATATTGTATATTGACAGGTTATGTGTGACAGCTATCTATTATAATCAAAAATGTTTCGATATGTGGAAAAGAAATAATAATAAATTGGTAATTAATTTGTCTCTATTAATACTATGATTAGGAAAAATCTATAGATTGTATAAAATGGTTAGATATCCAAATAGATAATATTTAGTGAATAGAATTTTTTTTAGCTTCTTGTGCTACAGGGAGATACTGCAAAGTATGCCCAACAAAATGGAGGCTTCGATATCAGGCTGTTACCTCATATTTGGATCTAGAAGAGTCTATTTTGAGGACCATTGAAGAAAAATCAGAAGGGAAGGACTTAACGAGATTTTTAACTATAGCTGATACATTAGATTCGATACGACGACCGATTTTTAATTGAATTTGAACTTATGAAAAATTATTTACGCAAATACAATATTTTTCAAAAAATTGATAAGGATTTGACTGAAGTAAAAATCACTATTATCATTATATTGCAATTTAGAAAAGATAATATCAACTAAGAATTGAAAGATATTTATGTGATTGTTGAGGCGAAAGCGTAATTTTTGAGATTTGCAAGCAACAAATATATAAAACATTGCTTATTACAAATTGGTTGGAAATTTTTAAGGGTATCCCTGATGAGTTAAGAAGATTATTAATTCAAGTTTGATAAAAAGTAATTTTATAACCTTGTGTTGGCATTTATATGCATAGGACTTTATTTCTGCTCACCCGAGAGGGTATCCTTAATAAGTTTCCGACCCTAAGACAAGGGAAGTCTATCGACTTAACAATGCTTAGCAAATAGATTATCGATCATAAATAAGGGCTTATCGGCGCTTATTAAATTAAGTATTTGGGTTTGGCGGACTATTACCCCCCTATATTGGTGCTTTATTTACAAAAATATGTGTACTATATCAATTTATGATTGCTATTATATAATGTATTAGTGTTAAAGGCTATCAAGTATTAATGAGTATGTTATTGCGAGGGAGGTAAGACACGTTCATCCGGGTCAGGGGAGCGTTCCTCATTGTCCACGAGTTCGTTCGATCCTACCGTTTTATTGCCTTCGGTTAGATTTAACTTTCGTCGAACTAAACAAAAATGAACTTTTTAATTAATATTAATATCAAATTTGATCGAATATTTAGTAAGTGGTCGGTTTTGAGATTTTGAGAACGGCATTCGGTCAATCATGAAATTTTCAAAATATTTTTTAGGATAATTCTTAATACCTTGAACCAAAAATAAAGAATTTTTTTTTGAATAACGCCAACGATGCAGTATTTAGTTATTGGCCCGGTTTCAAATCGGTTATCGGTCCAGTCACGATATTTTAAAAATATTTTTTGGGATACTCATTTACACGTATTTATAGATATATAAACCAAAAATGAACTTTTTCCAATTAATATTACTACCAAATTTGGTCAATCGAATATTTAATAAGTGTTCGGTTTTGAGCTCGGCATTCGATCAAATCACAATATTTTCAAAATATTTATTAGGATAATGCTTAGCACGTTATTGTACACGTATAAACCTAAAATGAATAATTTACCATGGATAACGTCAGCAATGCAGTATTTCGGTTTCAAATCGGTTATCGGTCAAATTACGATATTTTAAAAATATTTCTTTGGATAATGTTTTACACTTATTTATAGATAAATAAACCAAAAATTAACATTTTAGAAATAATATTACTACCAAATTTGGTCGATCGAATATTTAATAAGTAGTCGGTTTTGAGCTCGCCATTCGGTCAAATCATTATATTTTCAAAAAATTATTTAGGATAATGCTTAACACGTTATTGTACACGTATAAACCAGAAATAAAAAGTTTTACATAGATAACGCCAGCAATGCAGTATTTAGTCATTGGCCGGTTTCAAATCGGTTATCTGTCAAATCATAATATTTTTAAAATTCGGGATAACAATTTACACCTATTTATAGATAAATAAACCGAAAATGATCATTTTCCATATAATATTAATACCAAATTTGGTCGATCGAATATTTAGTAAGTGGTCGGTTTTGAGCTCGGCATTCGATCAAATTATAATATTTCAAAATATTTTTTAGGATAATGTTTAACACCTGAATATACAAGTATAAACCAAAAATGAAGAGATTTTGATCAATAACGCCAGCAATATGTGCCTTACAAATTTTCTACTATTTTTCGATTCTAAACTTACTCATTAATTAAATGTCAAAGAAACCTATATTTTTTAAATTTTTTTTAGGTTTTTCACATGTATTTACACCCAAATATAAAAAAAGCGCTATCCAATAATTATTCTGGTTTCCTAATAATATATTTTTATATTTATGCATTTAACACCCTCTTATGGATATATATTTGTTAAATTTTGCAATTGAAAAATAAAATTTAAGTTGTTAAATAAATTTTTTTTTCAATATTATAACGTAAAAATAGAATTATAAATTATTTGATATTTAATCTCAATTTTTTACTTAATAAAAAATTAATTTATGTACATTAAATAAATATTTATGAAAATTATTTTAAAAAAAATATTATATAATCAAATTTTGATTCATTATGAATAATTGCTTTCTAGCAATGCACAATGCAGTATTTAGTCATACCCCTTCTTCCCCCTTTAAAAATTTTTATGCTTTGTTGTAAGATTTCATTTGATATTATGTTTGTTGTTTAGCCTCAGTCATATCTTTTTCTTTGGTTTGTTCGTAGCTTGTTATCCTGATCGTCTAATCATTCGTTTGGTCATCATCATCCCATTAGCTTGTTCATCTCGTTATTTATTATCATTTATATTTAGTTATCATTGTTCGTAATTATTATTATGATCAATTTATCTCGAATAAAATAATTTTGGAATAATGGAAATAATAATAGAATAAATAATTTATCGGAATCATTCATAGAATAATAATAATTGGAATATTGAATCATAGAATATTTTGAATTGTCGCGATTTATATAATATTTTTTTATTTTTATTAAATTTCAATTATTTTCATTTTTAAATTTTTGAATTTTACTCCCTTATTTTTCAATTTAAACAATTTCTTCATATCATAATTTATCTTCAAATTGTTCTTTATAAAAATTATTTCGCCTTCCATTTTTAATAAACGATCTCCATATCACATTCTTAAAAACTTTTTTAACATCAATATATTAAATTACCTTGTCTCTCTTTATAATATTTGTTTTACGTTTCTTTATTTTCAAAGTTTTTTAAAATTTTTTATTATTTATAAAAGTTTTTATTTTTTTATTTGCTTTAATGTTTATTTTATAATGTTTATTTTATTATTTTCTTTAATGTTTATTTTATTATTTTCTTTAATCATATATTTCTTCAAATTTTATCATACAATTTATCTCTTATAATTTATAAGAATCTATTTCAATTTGAAAATTTGGTACTAATCCAATATTTTTCAAGTTTTTATTATTATGAAATTTATAATTATAATGATCATTTCTTTTATTGTTATGTGTTTCTTTATCATTATTTGTTATCTAATTTTCTATTTCCATAATAATTTTTATTATTCGATTTATTATATTGATTTCTATTATAATAATTGTCTTTGTCACAATAATAATAATTATTATGTATGATTATTTTTATAATTTTGGCATTTAAAATTTTTATTAGGATAATTTTCTTTTATTTTTGTAACCGATTTATAATTACATAAACATTTTATTATAACCAATGGCGTCGCTAGGAGGGGGCGCACAGGGGCTCGAGCCCCTGAAAAATTTGAATAACCCCTGAAAAATTTTTTTTTAGCTCCTTAATATCCCCTTGAACTAAAAATAATTTTTTTTAATTGCCCCTGAACGATTTCTTTTATAATTCTATTATAGATTTAATTTTATTATTTAAAAATTAATAAAGCTATCTAATTTTTTATTAAATGAATACTATTTTAATTATTAGATAAGATTATACATATAAATTATATGTTCACTCAGTAAGCTTGCAATCAAATTCTGTCTTAAAAATATAATATTAATATCACTCACTAAATATTAATTTAGCATTAACAGTTTAAGCTTAATTGACTTTTATTATTTAAATTATTATATAATCCTAATTAAATAAATATAGTCATTTATTAATTGAAAATTAACAAATTTAATATTATAATTAGCCGAGTTTAAAATCACTAATCAACTATATTATTCATTATTAAATTTAATTACCATGCTTTCAAGGTAATTATAAGTATAAGAGATTTCTTTATAAAAATAAGTAGACATATAGTTTATAATCCCCTATTATTTATAATTGGTTATGAAATATTAGGTAAAATACCACTTTTACAGACATATTTGGCAGTTATAATATATTACAGTTAATAATTCTAAAATTTTAATAGTAAATACTTTTGATACCATCTATTTATTAAATATATTATTAAAATTAAACTTCTTATTATTCATCCCACAATGGATGTAATAAATTAGATATCTTTACTCTTTTTTTATATGTTTTTAGTAAAGCTATTTTTTTCTTCTTTGAAAAACAGTTTTGAGTTAAATTTTTAATACGAATATATTTTTGATATTATTACAATCTATTATTATTTTAAGATATAATATACCAACTAGAGGTGGTGCGACAATAATATATAAAATCTTAATTACTTTTATCATATCACTCTGGTTCTTATTTTATAGTTACAAAATGTTTCATTTCTAATATGGCATCCTTGCCGTGTAAATACTCAAAACTTCAATATATTTGCATAATTTCTTCTAAAGATGTTTACTGTTTTTGTTTTATCAATTTATCCAACATAATAAATTCTGATATGGGTTACCATACCATCGTGGGTTTCATGGTTGTGACTGCAAATTAATCAGCATCTATTATTTGTGTGACTATGTAATTTAAGATTATTACTATAGGTGCTGAGAGCATATGTTTGCATATTTTAGATAAGCAATAATGGTCAACTGTGTAGTCGTTTATATGTCATTAAAAATGGAAGATAATCTTTTAGAAATTTAATATCTCACAAAAATTTTATCGATTACTTATCTAGCTTCCATCATGTCATCTAAGAGGAAGCTCTAGCCACCATATAGTTTTATGATTTGGATTGGTTGTTTATATTTTCTTTTTCAAGAATTGTTGATTTAGTTAGGCCTATAAATTTTTTCTTATTAGTCCATTCCAGGGGCTTAGGCAGGAATTTGGTCTAGGGGGGGGGGATAATAAAATTTTTTAAGAAATATTATTGTTTTTTTAAAATATCAAGCATAAATTTATTAGGACTAATAACTATTTCTAATACACAATTTAAATTAATGTGAATTATAAAAAATTATATGTAAAGAATCACTTAAATGACCCAAAATAGAAATTTGAATTTTTTGAGCCTTTACAATGTTTCTTAGGAATAATTGCATTTTGTATGTTATAAATTTACAATGTAAAATCCAATCTTCGTTGTGGTTGAGCTAATTTTTCAATTATCTCATCCTTGCTTGTCGTCAAATGCCTATGAATATTCAAAAGATCCAAATCTTTCAATCTACTTTCAGATGTTGTACTTCTTGGTATGTTTTTCAGAGATCTGCAGGCCCGGCCCCCAGGCCGGACATTATTTTAATTTTTTTAAATATACCCGGGCCGGGCCCGAATTTTTTTTAAAAAACACCCAAGCCGGGTCTGAATTATTTAAAAAAAACACCCAATCCGGGCTGTATTTTTTAAAACAGCCTAAATTTGAAATCGTTATTATTAGCTATAAAAATCAAAAATAAATATAATTTATTTTAAAAAAATCCGGGTCGGGCCTAAATTTTTTTAAAAAAAGCCGAATCGGGCCTAAATATTTTTTTTTAAAAAGCCGGCCGGGCCTGAAATTTTTAAAAAAAAACCTAGGCCAGGCCGTAAAAAATCTTTAAAAAAAATCCGGGCCGTGCCCTGCAAATGGTACTTCTCAAGGCCTCTGTTATTCTTCTTAAAAAAGATAATGTTCTCTCATTAGTTTATTAATGGGAAGAGTTTATAAACCCTTTTAATACATTGGGAATTTAATCTAAAATGTGTTTGAAATAATGCAGAGCATCCACAACATTTTTTGGGATTATATTAACCATAGTTAATCTCATAAACATAGTAATTCAGCTGGATATACTTTAACATATTCATAATAAAAATCTAACAAATATTTTTTTTTTCTATCACCATCTGAAAAAGGTTGGGAAGGCTTTTGTGGAAGTTATTTACAGCTTAGTAAGTGCTGCATGATGAATTAAAAATTCATTTATTTGGGTTATAAATGTATCTGATTTAAGATATACTCTTCTACTGATCCTATATTAATGTTTTAACGATGAGCTTGCCTTGCTACAAGTCGAGGGAGACAAATATTAAACACGTATAGCTCTGCTTTTGACTCAACAATAAAATATAAAATATGAAATTCTTCATCAACATTAGCCCTAATTTCCTTGAGTTCTGATAAAATACTCTCCGCTATTCTCATTTTCTTAATCAAGTCAATCTCATGTTTTTGAAAAGTAATACTTAAAATAATTGTACAATTAAATAATACATTCTAATGAGAAATAAAATTTGGAATAAGCATTGTATCCAATCATTTTCTTGCTTCTGAGGAAATATTTCTTTATGGCCATTGTGATATTTCAGTAATAGCAAATAATTGGCTCTTCTAACTCCTTAAGCTGTTACTATTTAAATTTTCAATTGAATAGAATTCAATTTATAAAAAGCATGTCAAACTATTGTACTTTTTATAAAAATAACTATTAATAAAAATATAGAGTACAATGACATTTAACAAAAAGATACTTATCAATTATCATCTTTCAACTAAATTGTAATAAATATAAAAAAATATAAAATACAATAAATATAATTTAAATTTGCAATTGAATAGAATTCAACTTATAAAAAGGATGTCTATTGTACTTTTTATAAAAATAACTTTGTTATTTTCATTGCATAAATAAATATTTTCTTTAAATATTTTAATATTATTAAAAAATTTCATAGGCGAATAATAAGCCCACTTATATTGGGTATAGATTAATATATTTATCTGCAACAATGTGGCCATAGATAATATTCCCACCTCTGTTGCCCAGACACCGTTTCCCATAACATTTCTGTTAACTAGGTATTCCTCTACAGGATATCCTATAAATTTTCCCATTTCCAATTTGAAATCTTCGCTCCTCATAAAAAGAAAGCATTCCTCCCTAAGGTAATTATAATTTTCCTGGCTATTTGATATCTCTTGACTTATACACCTATAAACATGGCTAATAATTAAATATTATATATAGATACTAACCTAAAAAAACAGTTCCCATCACCCACAATATGATCGGTTGTGAAAATCTCTTTTAATATACCATATTTTATCTTGGGATAACGTCCAATTACTTTGAAATTGAACCGTTTAGAGTGATATACCTTTCAGTTCCTTGTTGTGGGCAGAAAAAGTTTACCAATTTTTTTTGGTATTATTGCTTCCACAATAATTTGGGTTATCTAAATTTGATAATTAAATAATAACATATTTTTAAAAAATATTTACACCCTGATCTTGTACACCTATATATCCTTCCTCAATTAGTGTTGTTAAATGGCACGTTTTGAGCCGATTTTTTAAAACGGCTAACTCAATTTTTTAGCCAGAAATTATTTAAGCCTCCAGATTTCGATAATATATGTCTAGACCTTTGTTCCTTCTATGAACAAAATTTTTAGGCTTGCGTAATATTTTTCTGGATGAAATGTTGAATTAGCCGTTTTTAAAAATCGGCTCAAAACGAGCCGTTATACAACACTACTTTTAATAGCTATTATTGGATCTTCACCAAAAGTATCTGTATCCAAAAAAATATATTAAAAAATTTTATGCATTATACCCTTTCTCTTGACACGTTTTATTTTAGTATCATCCTTTCTAAATTCCAACCCTAGAATTTTAGATTTATCAAAAATAAAATTTTTCCAATTTTTAAAAAATAATATTTTCTCCTGAAACTTTTATTATTCCACAGGACATTTCTTCAAATATTGCTTCTTCTAATGAAAATATAATAATTAAAAATATATTTTCCTTTTTCCCAAATGCATTTGTTTACCTTCTCCTTCTCCAACTATAGTTTTAAGAAGCCTACAAACTTAATTATTTGTTCAATATTATTTTATGAATAAACTGATATTACCTTGATCTTGAACACCCTCTATAGTTTCACAATGTGTAATTTTTTTGACTGTATCTTTACCATTAAAAAAAAGTTATATTCATATATTTAAAAAATAATACCTTTGTTCCCCTCTATATAGTGCTTTAAATTACTTATATTAGCCTTAATATGTAAAATTTTTCCTGTTGAAGAGGATAATTATACATTGCGTAAATATGTATAAATATTTTGTTAAAAAATAATAAATTTACTATTAACAATTGTATAAGGACCTACCCAAGGCTGCAACATTTTCCCTCCTTTCCTGTCAGCTCGACGATTATTCCACACAAGCACTTTATCATTTATGTGATAAAGTGCCTTTTAGCAGCATTACGAGTTTTATAATCTCGTTGCTGCTTAAGCTGAGCCTTTATAATATTTTTTGTTGCAGTCTTGAATATGCCCTCCATATTATCTGCCCTTCTTTGGAAATTGCAGTCATAATCTGTATCAAAAAGATCGTCAAGATCTGTTTCTGGTTCTCTATCATCCTTAAATAATAAAAATAAATATTTATTATGTATAATAATTTTATAAAAATAATGATATATACATCATACCTCACAGGGCAGTAAAGCTTTCCTGGCATACATCATCTCATATGGCGTAAATTTTGAGGATTCATGCCTTGAATTGTAGGCAAATACAATACCAGGGAGAACTCCAGGCCAATCTTTCTCATTGCTTTTTGTACACTTCAAGAGGGAATTTTGAAGAGTACGATTGGCTCGCTCTACCATGCCATTAGCCTGAGGATGGTAGGCACTTGTCACTCTCTGCTGGGTTCCCACGAGTTTGTGATATTCATTGCTCACTTGGTTTACAAACTCGCGCCCCTGATCATAAATTTGGACCTATAAATATGATAAATATCATTATATTATAAAAATTTCATCAACCTTGACTCTGCCATGCCTGCATAACAGTGAGTATAAAAAGAGGGTCACTGAATGGGCTGTCTTATCCTTTATAGGCTGTGCTTCGATATATTTTAAAAAATAATCAACAGCAGCATATTTGAACCCATCAATGCTATGTGGCAATGAACATAGGTCTACTCCTATTTGTGTCCATACCTTAGATGGAATAGGAAAAGACTGCATTTCCAAACTTGTTTTGTCAAATCGAGTATTGTATCTTTGACATAGGTCTCATGATTTTACAAAGTCAATGATACTTGCCGCATTCTTTGCCACCATTATCTAAAAGACATAATTGAAATGCTATATTGTTTTTAAAGTTTTAAGCATGTTAAAAGAAATTTGTTAAAGGTTAAATTTAAATTTTTTTTCCTATCAATTGAAAGAGCCGAGTATATTGGTACTGCTTGATGTATAAGTTTTTAAAGTTATAAATTCTTTCTAAAAGTGGTGCAAGCTTTTTGGGTCATATCAGGTTAAAACTGAGTAATATTTACTACCTGATTATGTTAAAGTACATTTTAGAAGTGTTGCAAGCTTTTTGGGTGATATCAAGCAAAATTTAAGCAATATTTTAAAACAATATTTTATTAATTGAAAGAGAATTTTATATTGAATACTGTATCCTAGCTTATAAATTGTGGAATTTATCAGTAATATTCATAAAAATTTAGAAACAATACTTAAACCAGTTTATAAAATTATGTTATAAATAGTGTAAATATACCTTTCAACTATTTTATCATATGTCTTGTTGATTCCAAAGTGACCTGATAATGATTTCTGTGAGATTTGTCTCACATCCTCCATGGAATGAGACTAAAAGTTTTTGTTGTTGGCTAAAGAGTGAGATAACTACAGCATTATGTAGGTGATGGTATAATTTGTCATTCTCTAAGAAAAATTTGGCACATTTGACTCTAAGGTTTCTTTTTAAGCCATGATCGCCGGCATAAAAGTTTGGGTAGGTTTTGCATTTAAGGTAATTATAAATATCATTGATAACATCGAGATTCACTATTTAATATTTTTATATTAAAATAATAAAATATTTTACTTTTTACGTGAACAAGTTACTTTTTGAATAGGATGTCTAATTTCACAAATTAGATAAATAAAATTAAAATTCGATTCAAAATTTAAATTCGAAAATCAAATTTAATATCAAAAATTAAATTTACAAGAATTTCAGTAATATTAAAAAAATGCATGATCATATAACTCTCCCTATCATTTTACATTGTAATTAATATTTTTGTTACTAATCAACTCCCTCCTTAACACTATTTATCAAAGGTATCATAGTTATTACTTAACTCAGAGGTATGTGATAAGGGGAGTTAATTAATCACGCTACACTGGAGTTAGTTAAATTTCTAATTGATTTATCATAGCCCAGCCTTAGGCTGGAGGAAGTGCACCCTGGGAATTATAAATGGTATGAAATCAGAAATTCCCATGAATAACAAATGGCGAAGGAATACAAATCAGGAGATATCAGAGTTTAAATTATAATATGGGTAAGGGGTTAAGAATGGATATTAAAAAAATATTATTAATTTATGTATTGCCATAATATAAATGAATATAATAAAAAATAAATATATAAATACGTACTAATTATATGACGTAGCGATGACATGACTTAGCGATGACATGATGTAGTGAGCACATCGGAAAATTATAATATATACATGGGGAAATTTAAGAATATGTATAAAAAAATAAGATAATATTAATTGAAGGATGTATAGAAAAATATGTATTTTTTAATAGTTAATAAGAATTTGGAAGAAGGTAGAATAAAGTGAGTAATAAAATTATAATTATAAAAGGAGATATAAATTTAGTAATCTTATCTATTTTAAATCCATAGAATTACTACATAAATAATATAGAATGAAATAAGAATATATAGTAGTTTCCATTCATCTAAATCGAATATTCCACATAATGTTATCCTGTTATGATAAAATAAAATAAAATACCAGTACAAATACAGTACAATCACTTATTAACAATACTAGATTTTTATATTCAACTTTGAAAATAATCCTCCAACATACCAGAAAAACCGAACCCCTCTGATAAGAAATAAGATCATATACGATGTGTAAAACTAAAATTAAAGAGAAAAATGATTCTTAATATGTATAATTAGTTTATTTTATTTTTAAAATATATAATCGTTTATTTTACTTTATATTATATTATGCAAAAAATGTTGAAAAACGTTTTATTACTTGCACGAAATATTTAATTATCTTAGAAAAATATTTATCTTATTTTTCTTAATAACTAATATTTTGTTTTACGTTATTCTAATTTATATTTTATTTAAATTTAGTATTTAAATATACGTTTATATAAAGAGATGAAATTATTATATTTAGAAGCATTATTATTTTGAAGAATTGTTTTTATCTCCAGTAGTACAAAGTTAACGAAACAGATTAAGGCACTAGCTATCATAATGGTACTTTGTTTATTTTCCATTTGGATAGATACTGCTGTCATAATATTTTTAAAAAATCGTTATTTCTTAAAAGCTGGAGGCTAACCCATAAGATGGCGCTTGCCAATCCTGTGGTTCTTGGTAGGAATCAAGTAAAGATCTTTTTTGTCTGAAACCAACTTGATGGTCCCATCCTTAGAGATACTAATAAAATTATGGTTGGTGTTTAGCAAATGTTATTTAGAAAATTGCTATATGACGACTTGGCATATCGATCCCCAATAATACACATGGTCTTTTGTAATATCATAATCTATGAATTCAAAATACAGTAGATTGCTATTGCGCCCAATAACGCCAGCATATAGTTGCGATTTTCGAGAAGTTTATTTAGACGAGCCATGTAAAATTGGTCGGGCAGTTGGAAAAATAAAGCCTCATAAAAATAATGCTATTTTTGATTGTAAGGTTCTTTCAAGAAATCATGCTATTATTTGGTATGAAAATGCAAAAGTAATTTAATATTCTTATATGCATAAAAATTGTTGATAAGTTTTTTCTTAAAGATACAAAAAGTAGTAATGGAACCTTTGCTAACAAACAAAGATTGAGTGAAGGTTGTGAAGAGAGTAACCCCTATGAGATATTTTCAAATGATGAGATCCAATTTGGTGTAGATGTGACTGACAATCAAGGTTTTTATGTTGAACATACTTTTATATAATTTTTTTATGATATAGTTGTGCACTCTTGTATTATTTCTCAAGTCTCATTGTATCATCCTGATGGGAGTGAAGCCTTACCAAAGTAATTTTCTTTGCTTAATTATTCAATCATATATTTTTAGTCTGGTAGCTTTATCACAGGGTGATATACATAAACTTAGTCAAATTATTAGCGAAGTCAAAATTAAAGAAATTAACTTAAATAAAAAACAAAATGATTTCAATGAAATACTAGAGGAAATTTTAAATTCAACATCAGAATCTTGGAAAGTAATACCCTTAAATAATTTAAATTACTTTTTATTTAAAGGCAATGATTGATGAAGATTCACTGTTGTCACGTATCTTAGTTCTTGAAACTGAATTAGAAATTTATAAAAAGGTTATGCTCAGAAAATTCTTTTAAATTTATACTTAAGGCAAGGGATTTTCATAAATTAGATCTCAATTCACTTAAAACAAAATTTAATAATTATAATAATGGTAATTGAAACCAGGGTTGCCATATTGTCAAACAAATGGTGGGAGAGTTTAACCATAGTTCTAAAAATTATTCTTACAAATGTTTACATATTGCATAAGAAATATGCACACAGACTAGGAGGGGGACCATAGTAATTCCTCCATGGGCAATTTAAAATTTTATAAAAATTTCAAAATTGCCCCCCCCCCCCCTCATTCTCCATTCATCACCCCCATCTCCTTAAAAAATGAATACAAATGTGTAAATGATTTAAAAAAATTATCATAAGCTTTAATTTTACCTAAATATTAAGTAGAATAATTAAAATGCACAGATTTAAAAATTAATTTATAACACTGTTTTTTATTTAAACTATTCTGTTTTTTTCAAAAAAATAACCCATTAAAATTATAAAGGACAGAAAGCAGTTGGGGTAAGAATATTAGTTCAAATAGTATTTTAACTCTGGAGCATGAAGACCTTGAATTTGTTGAGAAGATGTATTTTTTTCTAGATATAATTTCCTACCTTCTTATCTTTTAAAAATATTTTTGGTTTGATATATTCTCCTAGTATTCTTTTCTTTTTGCAAAATATTCATATCATAATAATTTAAAATTTGTACCCATGTATAGTGTTGTTAAATGGCTCGACTAGAGTCTATTTTTAAAAACGGCTAACTCAATATTTTATCCATAAGAAAATAAAGTAAGCCTGAAGATTAAATCTCAAGGCTTTGGCAAATTTTTCTGACTAAAATCTTGAGCCATTTTTAAAAATCGGCTCTAATTGAGTTATTTAATACCACTACACTATAGTAGCCAGCATGAATGAAAGAATATTAGTAACAGAATTTTGGCCAAATTTATGATTAGATCTGCCTTTTCAATACATATGCCATCTTTTTTAAGTTCCTTTACTTTATTTGTTGATCTGTTAAATTCATAAAAGCACTTCATTGTTATTGATACAATATCAACTGGAAAAATATTATGCCCTTTTAGCAGCATTTTGTTGCATAGATATAGAAAATCTTTTCATATCATTTTTTTTGAATACGGTCCTAAAATATTTTTTGCAATTGCAGTGCTTTTAGTGTGTTCACAATGAAAGTGTGAAGCAATCTTAAAGTCTGTAAATATTGATTTGTAAATAGTTGACTGCAATCTGCTGATAATTCTCTAAAAAAGTATGTTATAGAATAATAAACATGTAACTTCTGCTATAGCAACTTTTCATTTCTTCTATCAGATTTATTAGTTGAATATTTTGTGAATGATCAATATTTTTTTAAATAAGATAAATGTTTTTTTTGTCGTATCATGTCGATTAACATCATATAGCCCCCAAACCTTATGAAAAATTTGCAAGAACAAATTGTGCAATTTGCCTTTAATATAGAATTGTTATCAATAGGGTTGTTAAAAACCCTATTATTTTTAAAAACCACCCTATTACGATTTTGGCAAAAAATATTATGTAAACCTCGAGATCTGGCATAGAGGTCCAAACCTTTCTGCCATCTATGAACAAAATCCATAGGCTTATATAATATTTTGCCTAAATTTTAATTGAGTCGTTTTAAAAATCGATTCTGACATTTCACATTCATTACAACTTTTTTAAATGGGCATATTTTACATGTCTAAAGTTGTTTATTTAAAAATTTTCCGGAAAATAAAGAAATTTTATAGAATATGAATAAAATTTATAGCTATTTTTGAAATTTTAAGATTTATGGCTATTTAGCGGGATTTTTTAATTTTTTCATTTCGCGGGACATTTGGTCGCGTTTTTAGGGGGAAAGTAATTCACTAAGCAGGAGTGCGCAACCTAAAGCCAGACATATGGTAGGTCTAATACTGAACCCAAAATTTTAAATAAGAGTTCGGATTTGGATGCAGTAAAATATTAAGGGTTCGAAGGTTTCAGGGTTTGGGTTCTGATTTACACTCCCTTTTTTATTTATTAAAACAATTTTTAGCGTAAAATTACACTTCATTCGCATTATTTTTTCTTTATTTATTATGAAAAAAGCGATTCGTAATAAAAAAATTACACCAAAAATATTTCATTATGAGCATGATTTTTTTCTTTTATTTATTTAAAAAAAATAAACATATTAAATTTGCTTCCCTCATCTATATTTTTTTTAACGTATTAAAAATAATTGTAAATTTGTAACTTAGTAAAAATAACACAATTTTTTAACGTTTTATTCATTTTTTTAGTCAGATTAAATTTTTTGATATAGTATTAAAATTATTTAAATCTTATTTAGGAATTTTTTAAGAAAAATTTCTAGAGAAACAATGTTTCCCTTGCTTTTATGGACGATAATATAAGGGTCCTTTCATATAAGATAATCATCCTTTATATAACAAAATATTTAAAATGTTTATGAATAATAAATCCTAAAATTCGTCTCCTAATAAACATACAATGACGGTAAATATTCAAATTAAGCTATTATTTATCACACAATAAAATAATAAATGTAAATAATTAAATTTAGCTATCAATCAGTTATTACATTAAAGCACAAAAGAAATGACCTCTAGGTGAATAAAATATTTAGTATACTATTCATTATTTAATATTGTTTATTTTATACATCAACTCGTATATCTTTTCTTCCCTCTGAAACCTTTTGATTTTTTTATTCATTTCATTCCAATCTCTTTAGTTTTCTTCCTTTAAATTTTATCATGGTATATGTTGTTGCCATATTTGCATATAAGAAATTTTTCTTAATTTGATTTTAGGAAAAATTGTTCACTACCATGCCTTAATTCTGGAACTCCCTATTCCCTGATCCTTTTATTAGACCAAATGATAGTTCATCAAGTTTAGTTAACACACTTGATACTTGTAAATCTTCAGTTCTATCTAGAATCCATTCAGCTCCCTCAGAATCTTCATAGTTCCTCTTTTCTCCTAAACAATTTGAATTTATATTTCTCTTCCACACCCTTATGGCTAGATCTAATTAGTTTTTGCTTCCCAGTTTGGTTCCAGAAATTAAATAAAGAATTCACAGTTTTTATTAAGGATAAGGTGTTGAATTTTGATAATATTCTTATAGATGAATTTACCCCATCTCATTTATTTATTCCTAACGCTCTCCTCAGAATATTGACCCCTGAAAAATTAGATCCTTGGTTAGCAGTACTGCTTTAATTATGACTTCTGATGATATAATTTCTAACATCAATGTCAATACTTTATAATAACTTCTCGAAAAGCAGCTACTGGTCCTCCCATACATTCATCCATACCTGTGATGTGCTTAAGTTCAAAAGGAGACGACAGGTTTTTCGACTGCTTCATACCATTTTTGTTGACTTTATCCAGTATCCTGATAACGGTTTTATAATACTTGCTAAAATTTTTTACTGAATTATCTAAATATCTCCACAGGAAGTTATTCTTCTTATATGTCCTATTCTTTTTGATGCACCCCTTGTGTCATTACCCAAACCAAACGGGTGTATTAGATCCACAGTAAGTCGTTTTTCCTAAATTAGTTGCCAAGGGCGTAATAAGCAGGATGAGTTCAAAGGCCATTTCCCAGTTAGGTTTTGGAGTCGGAGGTGGTTACGAATTGATATCTCTCATTGCTCTTATTTTAATAAATGTTGAATTTGATAAAAATCGTAAATTTGACTTCTAGAATGTCTTCAATAGCACTCATTGGAGTTCATTACTGCCTTCCTTCTTTAAAAATTTCCTAAACATAATTTTCTCAACCCTTGCTGTGTTTTCTTCTCGTTACTCAAATTTGGAGTTTACTTTATTCTTCCAAAGAATCCAGCAAAAGCCATTCCTTGCTCGCTTTAAGTATTCATGACTGACTTGGTTAAAAAACTAAGAATGATATAAATATATGGCATCTTGACCACTGTTCTTTTGGTGTTCCTTTAAATTGTTATTTCAGCTATTGAGTATGTTGAGTTTGAGACCTCTAAAATTGGCTCTTCCTTAAACATGAAAACAATAAGAATATTATCTTTCCCTCCCATTTTAAAGATAATTTTTCACGATGACTCTATTTTTTTTAGGTTATCTTATCGGTTTTTATTTTCTTTTTTTGAGAATTTTGATTGAAACCCTTTTTATTTCTCTGATTTTTTTCTCACCTTTCCCATCATTTTTTTCTCACCTTTCCCATCATTTTTTTCTCCTCATCAAAATATTTTTTTCTATCCAAATTCTTGCACATCTTTAAATCTTTTCCAGCCTTTCAATTTCTAAATTCTTTTAAATTAAAATTTGAACATTTCATCGAATCTCATAGTCCTAAAATTTTTTGATTTTAATTGGCCCTTCACCTTTTTGCCCACTTACTAAGAAGACCTTTGATTTCCCAATCTAGTGGCATTTGTTAGCTTCCTTTTATCTCGGATTTATATTCCAGTTAATTGTACCAATTCTTAATTCGACCAAACAATCTTGGCTCACTTATTTATTCTCCAAGGTTCCAGACACTCCGTTTCTAGCCATAAGAGCTTCATAATTCCTATGCTTCAATATGTCTTTTTTTTTAAAACTCTGTCTCCAGCTAACTAGTCTTCAATTACTTAGAAACGGGAAAAATATACGAATGACCAGACGTGATTTTGAGTGGGGAGGGGAAATGTTATTCGCGAATGATGTGTTCCAAATCACCATATCTTCTTTTTTCTATTAACACTTGCAGATTGACTCATTTCTTTTGCCTTAAAATCAAGACCGCTTTTTGCGGAACGACAATCTTAATTGATATATCGGTAAATCTTTGATATCCGCAGGTTTTCCCAATTGTTTAAAGTTCTTAGGCCTTTTAGATGAGGATTACAAGCGTCCCGATGTCATATCTTTAAGGTCTTGACTCGGCGATTAAAGGCTCGTCTGGGATATGTCATGCTTACCTCATTCCC